TTTCAATTGCTGAGGCTCAGGGGAGGGATGGGTGAGAAGACATACGTTGTGATTAAGCAGTTTGGTACATTACAATACCATTGTTAGAACACTAATTATAAATGACCTTCTCCATGTACCACTCCTGCTCCACTATCCCACAATACCTCTCATGCCCTTTTGTGATGACCTTTACTTTTTTCTTGTATTTCTCTTAAAACTTATTTTTATAGACTTGTATCCATTTGTTGTGTGTATATTTTGCATTGAATCAGAAAACAAAAATTTACACTGTGACAAGAATGAATAAACACAGCTCAACCAGAAAAAAACAAAAAAACAAGAGAAATTATCATGAGATTAAAAAAATAGCACAGAACAGCAACCTCAATGTGTGAAATAGGTAACCAGGAAGACAGCCTTCAGGAGCGTGGACGCCACATTCAAGCTGTCAAGAAAAAGACATTCTAGAATATTAAAAAGGGCAAAGACTTCAGCAGGCATTGACCAAAGGTGACACTCAGCATGGGCAGAGCTGGCCTTGAAGAGCCCTCAGGGCATCTGGCATGAATGGCACCCCCGCACACCCGAAGTGGCTGCGGTGGGAAGAGCGTCAGGACAACACAACCAGAAGGTGGGGCACCTGGAGAGCTCACGGTGGGAGCAGAGACGAAGCCACCGCCTCGGGGGCTGCAGTGGTGCCCACGAAGGCCAGGGTGTCGCTCATCCCTGCCCACCTCCCCACCGCGGAGCACACTGGGGAGGGACACAGCTGTGCCTCCCCAGGAGGACAAGTGCAGGACCTCCAACGCCACACCCCTGCAGGCCCCCGGGCTCAGTCAAAACCATCCAGAGATCATGAATCCTGGACATGGACAATCAAACAGCAGAGTATCCCTGATGCAGTGGAGTGTCCGTGTGTAGCGGTGGGCGAGGGCTGGGAAAGCAGAGGCCACAAAGCACCCACTCTGTGCAATCCCACTGCTATGACTGGCAAAAGCCCTTCTGAAATCAGAGCTGTGAGGTTGGGGAGGAGGAGATGGGACAGAGACAGGGCAATCCAGTCCTGATGTGCTCCTTTCACGGCTGAGTGCTGGAGGCACAAGCCGCTCTGTCTGCACCACACACACACACACACACACACACACACACACACACAGCGAGGCTGACACAGATGCACAAACATGTGCCCTGCCAGGTGTGTGTCCCCACCTTGGACGATGTCCTGCCCGTCAAACAGGAAATACAGTGAAATGACGGTCATTTCTCACTCAAATGAAAAACTACACACCAAAGTGCAGACACTATCGGACTGCAGAGGAAAGGCGAAGGCAGAGAAGAAGGGGCAGGCCCATCCCGGAGGTCCTCTCAGCCACATGCGCACAGGGAATGCCACGGCAAGGCGCTCACCGCCCTCCCCCTCCCCCAGGGACAGGCAGCAGCGTGGCGCAGGGAGGACCACGGCCTGGTGCTGACCTCTGTGCCACATGACAGACTCAAATGCCACATTCACAGTGAGAAGGCTATAAAGAAGAAAAACTAATGGAACACTTTAAAGTTCTTTGTTTCCCCAACCAGGTGGGAAAAGGTTAACACGACCTTATTTAGTCTGCGCAAAATGGAGAGATGCCGGCACGCTGAGATGTTCCAGCTGTGGCCACAAGTACACCTTCTCCAGCACACGGACGACCATCAAATCCTGCTGGGCTGTGCTGCAGTCCCGGTGGACGGTTGCCTGCAGAGCTCTGCTGCGGAGCCGGGAGGCGGTGCCGCCCCACAACAGCGGGAGATCACGCACACCTCAGCATCGCTTAAATAAGGTACGGCGCATTCAGGCAACGGAACCCTGTCGAATGGCGACGTAGAGGGTGGGTCACAAGCAAGGGCGTAGGAGTGGACCACTGATTAACTGAAAGAAACCTCAGGATATTATTTTTATAAAAACATTTAAATAAATATGTGATTCTAATTTTATATATCAGCCTTTGAATACAAAAACTAGAAAAAAATGCACCACGTGTTCAGTGTAGTTCTCTGGCTCCTAGGGTTACAGCAACCTTGGCTGAGGGCTTTTATTTTTCTGTATCCGATTATTTCAAAATATAGGAAAGTAGGCCACTTTTAAAGCCATGCCAAAGACCTGGAATTGATTTTGTGTTGGGCGAATAGTCAAAGTAGTTTAAGTGGCCAACCGGGGTGAGCAGGTCTGTCACACAGAAGTATTTGCCACGAGACAAATGGGACTGTTCGCACGTTTGACTTGCAAGCGCTTTCCTCCGTTCTGAAGGCGCGCGTGCTGATCACAGTCTTTTCCTCGGGTTATCTACTGTTACCTGCAGTCCTAAAGAACAGGGACCTGCCTTCCGGCTGGGCAGAGCCGGGCGGTGGGTCCACGACCCGGGCGCGGTTCGACGCTGCGGCCGGGTGTCAGCGCCCCGGAGGGGCCGGCCGGCTGCGCGCTTCTCTTGCGTATGTTTGCTGCTGGGACCTCTGAGGTTCATCAAAACCTGGATCAAACTTTCTCTGATTGGTAAATCAAACGCCCTTTAACCTTGCCGTGGCCAACAGGAGCAGAAGCAAGTAGGGGCTGCAGGCAGAGGGAGCTGCTTGCGTTCAAGTTCTGCTTCAGGGATAGCTGCAAGAACCGCGATATCGCCACGCAACTCATGTTTCTTGTCCTTTGTTTTTTCTTGTTGTATTTACTGCAGGCTCTCGCCACGCAGATCACACTTCTGGCGGCCCTCCTGTTTTCAGCCTCCCAAGCGCTCAGTCTCAACCGCTGTCGCAGCGCGCCCCGGGGGCTCCCCGGGGATCGAACCCGGCCTCTGCGTCAGTCCGCTGAGCTATGTGGCCGGCAAGCCATCGCTGTTGCTGACGCCGCATTTGCTCATTAAAACGACCCAGCGTGGCCCGCAGGGCACAGGCCGGAGCAGAAGCTCGCTGGGTGCGCGCCGTGCGGACCTGCAGAACGGCAAGCGAGACGCAGGGGGCGCTCGTGCGCTGCGCGGCTCGCGGCGTTACGCTGCTTGCTGTGGCCCTCCGTTACCTTGATGGCACCGTCCAGCGCGGTGCTCAGGGCAGGCAGGGCAGGCAGGCAGCGCGGTGCTCAGGGCAGGCAGGCCGAGGGTCGGACGGGTGCTCACGCAGCGGCCCTGGCGGCGCTGAACTTGCTGCAGTGTTCTTCTTTGGGCTTTTAATTACCTGTAGCCCGGTGACCACTTCAGAGCGCTGCATTAAAATGACCAAGCGTCCCCACCAAGTATTTCATGCAGGACGCCGCTCCGAGCCTTGAGGACCTCAAAGGAAGCCCCGAACAGCTGTCCTGAAGCCCGAGGCCAGATCCACACACCCGAGCCTCGCTTCGTCCTGACTACGAAAGCATGTATGACTTCCACCTTGCTATGAAGGCACAGTACCGAGTGCAGCTTGCTAACACATCAAACACATGCAAGTAATTCTGTTCTCCAGTTAACCCTAGTGATGTATCCTTCACCTCCAGCAGAGGGCCAGGAGATTCTGCCTCATGACCAGTGTAGACTAGCAGAGGTCATATTTATAAGAACACAGTTTTTAAGTCTGGAATTGTATATACGCACTTTTCATCGTTTTATTTTTCAAACTTCAGTGCTCAAATTCCCTTTTACGTTATTATTGAAGTATGACTCAGCCACCAGACCATGCGGAAGTAAATCGAGTTATTAGGCTGGGTGACTCTGCAAAATATTGATAGCTTGCACCTAGCTTCCATGGCAGGAAGCAGCTCATGACTTAAACTAGAGTGGCACAGAAACCTGCAGGTGTGGACGCTCAGCTGCAGAGGGTGGGCGTGAGCAGGGCATTCTTCCAGGGCTCAGCAGCGACGACGTGCAAGGAGCCTTCCTCGCTGCCCACAGCTTCGCTGGAGAAGTTGCTCATTTGTCATTACCGCTTGTTGTTCTTTAGTAATTCCTTTCCTGCTCTGATATTACAGAGTCAGGGAAGCCCCAGGGTGGCGTGGGCCTGGGTGCAGGGAGCCCCTCATCTGGATGCACTGAGGGGGAGATGGCGCCTGATCTAGTTCTACGCAGGCAAAGCACAGGGAATTGGGACAGGCTGGGCTGGAAATCCTCCGGGGTGAAAGGCTGTGTGCCCGCGGCCACCCAAGCATACACTGCACATGCGCAATGCCCATCCTGCCCTGCGCACCAGCGAGCCTAGCAGCTAACTTCTGGGACTCCTCGTTTCTTGCTGCCTGGAACTTTCTGCCATCATTGGTTTTCTCAGGGAGGGGAGGGGACAGACAGGCTCCAGCTTCTCCAGGCTGAGGAACCACCAGAGCCCAGCTCAGGTCCCCCAGGCTGGAGACGCACAGAGGACCAGCGAGTCACGGGCAGAGGCAGCTGCAGGAAAAGCCACGTAATTCAAGGGCCATTTGATTAAGCGGCTGAAACTAACTAGTCACTGTCACTGTCACTGTCACTGTCTCTGTCTCTGCCTCTATCTCTTTGCCTCTGTCTTTGTCCCTGTCTCTGTCTTTGTTTCTCCGTCTCTCCCACCCTCTCCCTCCCTTTTTTCTCTTCTGTATCTCTCCCTCCCCTCCCTCATCACACCCTCCCTCCCTCTTCCTGTCTGTTCTCTCTCCCTCCCTCTCTTCCCTTCCTCCCTTCCTCCCTTCCTCTTCCCATCTCTCTCTCCCTCCTTTCCTTCCTCCCTTTCTCTCTCTCTCCCTCCCTTCCTCCTTCACTCTTTCCCTCCCTTCCTTCTTCCCTCCCTTCCTCCCTCTCTCCATTTTTCCCTCCCTCCCTTCCTCCTTCCCTTCTTCCCTCCCTCTCTCCCTCCCTCTTTACCTACATATCTTCTTCCCATATACCTTAGCACAGGACTTGGAAGCCTGGCCAAGGAAAGTGGTAAGACATTGAGCCACAGCTTGACATTGTCCCCTGTGGCTGAGACCTTTCCCCCCCAGGATGCCAGGGCCACCCTCTCTGTCACAGGAGAAGAAGCCAGCTCTCTGCCTCACATAGGCTGCAGCCCACCAGTACCTGATGGTCCTTCCTGGCTCCGCCTCCACAGTCCAGGTACAGTGCAGGTTGTTGTCATACGGGGCCGGGTAGCCGGGGGACAAGATGCGTCCAGATGTGGCTGCATGGATGTGGCCTCCACACTCCGCTGCAAGGGACACAGGTAGGCCGATGTCCCGATCGCTTTCCTTTCCCCTCCCCCCAGGGCCTTCCACAGGCTACAACAACTCTGCCACCGAGCGCCCGCCTCATGCCCTGTTCTGCTTTGTGTTGAGACAGGCTCTAAGTTGCTCAGGCTGGCCTTGAACTTGCACACCTGCTGCCTTGGCCCTCTGGGGAGCTGGATCACAGGCTGGCACCAGCACATTTACGTTCAGTTTTGCTTACCCTTACTAAAGAAAAGGGCCACGTGCACAGTACAGACGCAGTCAAGCCCCCAGCCCTCGCCTGTGTAAGCCTTACCTCCGCAGGGGGCGTTCACTCTGTGATTCGAGCCGTGCGTGCACATGCAAGGGTGCACGCACGTGACAGTTCTAGTAACCACTGGGCAAGGGTATGTGTCTTTCAAACTAGAACACACACACACACACACACACACACACACACACACACGCCCCTCCTGGCAGGGCACGCAGGAGCCTAGCCCCTGCCCCCTGCTTTGTTCAGGAGAGCCTCCCCGTGCAGCCAGCGCCCTTCCACTCACCTACGCAGGAGGGCACCGGCTTGTCCCACACCCTCCGGTCCCCACTGAGACACGTGAGGGTGCTGCTGCCGTGCATCACGTAGCCCGGGTTGCAGCCGTACTGAACCACGGTGTCCGTGAAGTGGCCCTCGTCGCGGATCCGGTAGCCATAGTGGGGGCTGCCGGGGTCCTCGCACTTGACCAGATCAAAGCCTAGGAGAGAGGAGCAGAGAGTGAGGGGACCCGGCATATGCATGAGCCCTGAGGGAAGGCAAGGGAGGCGGGTCGGAGCACGCACAGGCGTGATGCGGGGAGCCTGGGGAGTCGCTGAGCACCCACAGGGCATTCCGCAGACCGGAACCACCGGTGCATCTGCACACAGGCCCCATGCACATGCATGTGCACATGTACACACGTGCACACACACACACACACACACACACACACCCCTGCTGCACTGAGGAGCGAGCCTGGCCAGGGAGCCGGCCAGGGCCTCTTCACTGTGGCGCTGTCTCCCACCCTCCGTCACAGAAGGCGCTCACTATGGATTGTCCTCAGCGGACACGGGTGCCATCGGCGCAAGGACAGCGCTTGGCCTGGACGTCACGGAAGGCCTCAGGAGCTCACAGCCCGAAGCTCAGGTGTCGGCAGGTATTCTTGCTCATGGCGTTACTCAGAATATGCCCCCTGCGCGGAGAGGACAGTCCCCAGAGCCCACAGCCCCCACCGCACTTGTGAGGTCACCTAGACGAAGCGAGGCCCTCTGCCTTCCAGCTTGCCTTGAAGCTTTCATTTGGAGGAAGAAAGGAAGAGATAAAACCAAAGAAGGGAGCATTTCAGGTGTGTGGGTAAAGACGCCCTGGACGTCATGTGAGCGTGTTTTGTGGAGAACTGTCCTCTGAGTTGCTTCCCTGCTGCCTAATCTGGAGAGCTGTTTCTCTGAGCACATGCAGCCCTGCCGGCAGCAGAGAGCAGGTTATTTATGGAGGTGTGGTCACCTGGCCGTGCAGCTGCCTCGCTTCTCCTGACACTTTTATTGCTTCTCCAAAAGGGCACCTGGGGAACCAACAGCGCCACCTAATTTATTTTGTAGAAGCCCACACCTGACTCCCAAAGGCCTCCTGGCCGACCCCGGCGGATGAAATATATTCTTCCCTGTCAGCACTTGGAAGTGCTTGGCCTTTCTGCAACCACAGCTTCGGATTATTAACGGACTGAGCGCAGGTGCTTCGGCCCCTCTACTCTTCCCAGAGTGCAGTTCTGCAGGGCTGACTGCAGAGGGAGCAGTCCACGCCACCACCTTGGGAAGCCACGCACGGAAAAGCCTGGGCCCCAAGCTCCGGTGTGCGGTGTGTCCCGCAGGAGCCGCGCTGTGGGCCTTGGGATCCTGACACAGCTCGCTAGCCGTTCTGGGTCCCGGGGCCCTTGCACAGCCTGCAGACCAGCCCAGCCTGCAGGCTCACCCCAAGCCGGCTCTGTCCTCGTCCACGGGAGGCTGGCCTCGGCGTGTGGTCTCTTTCACACTGCGATGAACCACGCTTGGCTTGCCCGTGCAAAGTGCAGCACACAGCTATCCGTCGTGCACGCTGCTTCTACATGCGGAAGCTCTGAATCGGCTGACGGGTAGCAGCAGAATTCTGAAGCGCTGATATGCGGCTCTAAGATGGCTACACTGTGTTGTTTCAGGAGAGGATTTTGCTGTGACTTCTTTTAAATCAAACTTTAGTTTGTTTTGCTTGTTTTATCTTTTTGAGGTGGGGTCTCTTGCTATGCAGTTCAGGCTGGCCTTTGTAATCCAGGTTGGTCTCGAATTTACGAGCACCTTCCTGCCTCAGCCTCCGTAGTGCTGGGATTACAGGCATGTGTCACCACATCCAGCCATAAATCAAGCTTTTAAAATATATTATAAAAATTGACAAAGTTATTCATGCAAAGTAGAGCTCCTTCCATTGCAATATGAATTGAAAAGACTTTAAATGATTAATCTTAAAACTGCTAAAGAGTAATAATAAGATAAATATAGGAAGTAAGCTTCTGTCTCTTGCACCACTAGTTTGTATGAAAACAGTGTACAAAACCCATGTCTGTATTTCGTTATGCCATCGAAACTTAAAAGCCTCAAGTTATTTCTGTCAAAACATTATTAAGCATTGCAGTGAGATGCTGAATACTTAGTAATTCTATTTGTCTGCTTTCCCATCATTTCTTCTTAAGTCATAAGCACAAGAGGACACCATGAATAAAATATTCTCGTCAAAACAGAAGCCGAGCATCAGGCTGATGAAGTCCTCCTCTAGAGCTTCAGAGTAATTAGCCATTCCTAATATTCTTCTTCTTTTTGAATGTATTTTGTGCAGGCCTTCACGATACAGCTCAGACGCATAATGATCCTCCTATTTTCAGCCCCCCCACTGCTGGGATTACAGGGGGCGCCTCATGCCTGGACTCCGTGGCCATCTCAGCACGCCCAGGGGCAGGACCGGCGCAGCATGTGGTGCTGGGGATCAAACCCCAGTCCCAGTGCTGGCCTAGGCAGGCGCTTAGTCCGCTGAGCTATCTTGCCAGCCACATTCTTAATATTCTTAAGACTTAAATTCTGTATCTCTTTTAAGTCAGCAACTATTAGAGTTATGGTAGGCTCCCTTTTAACTCTCGCGTGTTTGGGTTGATTCTTGTCTCAAAAGTAATGAAAATATTTCTACATATAGAACTTATTTCCTACTTAAACTTTTGTGTCCCGTTGGGAGTGAGGACAGCTGTGGGGTCTCCAAGAGTGGGCCAGCAGGGGCAGCATGGCCCCCGGAGACACTCGTCATTTGTGGGTCTCAGGACTCTTCCTCCATGAGCGTCTGAGGCAGTCGCGCGTGTCCAGAAAGCTGCCCCCTCCCAACTTCACCCAGGACATTCCAGTTTGGATAATGCTCTAGTTTGGTGAAATCTCCTTAACAACCTGAGAGAAATTGTCAGCTACAAAATATGGACGCTGTTTTCTCACACACAAGTGGTAAACAGGAGAACTAGTGGGGAAACAATCTAGCGCTGGCTTTATGGGCTCATTGCAGCCCTCGACCAAGCGATGGAGGACGAGATGGAGGTCGGAGGCTGAGCTAACTTCTGGATTGCTCGAGAGACGAAGCTGGTCCACACGGAACTTCCTGAAGTGCCCGACTGACCTGCGCTGTGCGACGCAGCTCCGATTAGCCAAGATTAGCCTGCGGGGGGTGTGCACTCATGTCCAGTGTGATAAGCTGTTAAATCACCTTCCTACGGGGTCTTCAATATGCCCGCAGCTGGCTCACGTTGATCCGGCGCCCACCTTTTCACTTAGCTTGTTCCAGTTCCCCACACGCTAATTCTCACCACCACGCCTGTTACGTTCTGATTATACGAAGCACGCCATGTGGAAAAGCACACCTGACTTCAGCAGCAGCAGTGCTGAGATGCAGACTGCTGAGCTCCGCTCAGACCCCGCAGTCAGACCCCGCAGTCAGGGCAGCCAAGTAACTCTCCATCTCTCTGGTGCCACCTTGCTCTGTCATCAAACCTTTACAGGATCAGGACGTAAGACTGCCAAGAGTCGACCTTGAAGGCCTCACAGCTCTAGATCTGCTCCACTGGCCATGAAGGTCCAGGTGTGCGCTGGTCTCAGGAGAGTTGCCCTCCTGCCAGTGGTCTCAGCTCTGCGATGTCTCCCTGAAGGAACACAGTGTCCCCTCCTCATCCATCTTTGAGATTCGTGGCTTGGCACGTGGCACAAGTCCAGGGTGAAGCGCTTCTGGGAAGCCGGGGAATCAGATGGAAGTGACCTCACACTACACTTGCCGGCCCTGAGCCCCGTCAGTGCATGTCCCCATGTGTGCACTCTGCTCGGGCCCTAGCAGCAGGGCTCTGCCACACTTCCTGGGAGTGGCTCATCGTGGTCAGAGCTGGAGCACTACTGGACACCAGGCTGACCCAGCGGGAGAACCTCAGCACAGGAGCATGGCAGGAGAAGGACTCTGGGTGGGCGAGTGAGAAGGCATGGGAGCAGGCTGTGGGCAGGGCCACGATACAGAGAGGAGAAGGAGCAGGAGCGGGCCTGCAAGGGTGCACAGGTGCCCTCGAGGACCAGATGCAGCGTCCCCCGAGCAGGCACTGGGGAGCAGCGTTCCTCAGAGGGCAAGATGCTGTGGTGAGGTGCGCCTGCTGAGACTTCCTGCTGAGGACTCGCTGTGGGGGTGCATGCAGCAGGGGTGCAGGAGAAGAGGGAGGAGGAGGGAAGGACTTCATCCTCCAGTGTGTGGCATTAAGTCGTACTGAAATGTCTTAGGCCACATGTGCTCCTAAGGCCCCTGTGCACATCATACATTTGGCCTGATGCCCACAACACAAAAGAAGCCTCTGTCTTGGGGAAGGGTAGCTGAGTCACCGGGCTGCAAGCTGACCTGGAATGGGTGACATGTGACACCCTGCTGGTGGGCAGGGCACGTGAACTCCACACGCAGTGACACATGGTGCTTCTCCTCCATACCAGGGCCTTTCAGCTGCAGACCTGGCCTTGCCCAGCAGGGCTCAGAGCTGGACAGGAGAGGTCACTGTGCCTCCACAGGGTGTCCCTGGAGGACAGAGAGGCCAGCATCAGCGTGCAGGTGGCCACCAGGGAAGACATCGCCAGCGCAGCCACACAGCATGGGGGCTGCGGATGGAGCTCAGAGCAGCCCAGGCCCGGCAACCATGCAGGCGACCTGTGGCTGCTTCTAAATGCGCCACTTGCTCTGTCCTGGGGACACATGGTTGACTAGGGACTGTGCCAGGACACTGAAGGGTGGATCCTTCAGCTACATGAGCATCAGTGTTTGTGCACACACACACACACGCACACGCACACACACACAGATACACACACATGTTTCCATGGATGTGGGTCCAGCCTGCTGCATTCCACACACATTATTTAGAATTTATCATCACAATCCACTGCAGCGCAAGCTGATGGCTCTTACCACCTTACATCCAGAGTGATTTAAAACAAAACCTCCTCATGCAGGGATCCCTTGGACTCTGTTTGTTTGTTTGTTTGTTTTTGCAGGGCCATGGTTTGAACTCAGGACCTTGCGCCTTATTCTACTGAGCTATCTCCCCTGCCCAAAAGTTGAGGATGATTTTTTTCTTTTTTTGGCTGGCTCAGGCTGCTTTAAGGGCGGGTCTGGTAAGGCAGGTGCAGGCGGGGACTG